TGTTTATTGTTGTACTTGTTCTATATATTCAATTTGTCTGTGATCCATGAACTTAGTCATATAGCCCGGCGTGTTCCGCCGTGTCACACCCGAAACCGGAACGGCGGAAACGTTCTGGGGTGGATGACGTCATGTCAAGTATCACAACACATGCATTATAGTAATCAAAGTACAACAAAACATTGCATTAATAGTAATAGTTTTTACAAGGTTACATTACAACACTTTAAAGTAATACAAGTAATAGTATAAATACAGCGTGGTACAAAGCTGTCTTCATCAACAGCTCCGGGGATGTACCTGTCTAATGCTAACCTGAGAATACAAGTTATTTGAAAAGCGAGTATCAGCATTTTTACAAATGCTGGTGAGTTCATAAGCATTTAGTGACATTTCATTCAAATAACTTAATAAAGTGATAGTTTAAGAGATTTCAGTGTATTAGAGTTCCTTCCAGAAAATCCTATATTTTCTTTAATAAAAGCAGCCTTCTACCAAGACTGGTCAGTGTAATGTGGTAAGAAGAAGTTTCCCTTAATTGCTAATAATATCAATATACTGAATTTGATTATTAAAGAAAGCAGAGGCATCAGGGAATAACATATGCCTCAGCAGTGAGGACTGCTGACTAAGGCAAAAGAGTCATAGACTCCAGGAAAGTATTGAACTAACGACACGCCTGGTTTAGTCTAACAAATGGAGAAACAGACCCCCGAAGGTACCAAATGAAAGGTACAACTGGTAAAGTCTAAAACAGTGAACGCAGACCGAAGACGATACCAAATGGAAGGTACATCTTGCAAGGTCAAACAGTGATAACAGACCCCAGACGGTATCAAATGAAAGATACATCTTGTAAGGTCAAACAGAGATAACAGACCCCAGACGGTATCAAATGAAAGATACATCTTGTAAGGTCAAACAGAGATAACAGACCCCAGACGGTATCAAATGAAGATACATCTAGCAAGGTCAAAACAGTGTGACTCTGAAAAAGGTGACATCAGCATACAGTGTAAATCGCTTACGAAATACTGTTACCTTAAAGCCATGAATTATAAGGCAACCCAGGATACTCGTAACCATACTGACTAGAGTACTAGACGCCCTACAAGCATCTATATAATGTGACATTTGTCACCCCTTGGCTTGGTAGGCCGTGGACTGTAGCTAGCAGTCAGGGTGCGGGGTTGTCAATCCTGTATAGGCCTATACACACAATGTCCGCTCTCCCTACAGGAGACTCTGGTTACCAACTAGACGACGGAGAAGGCCGCATCCCGAAGATGCATCCCAAATAGAGGATAGCGTGTTACTAGGAGGGAGTGGGTTTCTTATGTAAGTGTAGACTAGAGGTATAGACTCTTAACTGAACTGACTGAAGAAAACTCGTATGTCTATGCTCGTATACGTAATATATAACTAATGAATCGAATGACCTTCAGATGGACATCCGATCCCACCAGACCACATCTCAACGAAGAAAAGGAAATAGGGCGTACAAGCCTTCCTAAGTCCTTCAATCATTATTTATATACATCTATACAAGCATAAACATACATCTAACTACGCTTGAGTGTGTATCATACGGTGAAGTATAAGTGTACAGTGGAACATCTGAGTCGTGAAGTATAAGTGTACAGTGGAACATCTGAGTCGTGAAGTATAAGAGTACAGTGGAACATCTGAGTCGTGAAGTATAAGAGTACAGTGGAACATCTGAGTCGTGAAGTATAAGAGTACAGTGGAACATCTGAGTCGTGAAGTATACGTGTACAGTGTGGGATAATCGAACCATGAAGTATAAGCGTACCAAGTTTAAGTGTATCACGAAGCAGAGACGACAATAAGTGATGTAAGAATGTCTATCAAGTATAAGTGGAGTAAAGTCGTTATACAGTATAAGTGAAGGAGAAATCGTATCACTAAGTAAGAGCGTGAATAAGTATAAGCGTCATCAAGTATAAGCGACTATAGTTATAAGGGAAAGTGTTACCGAGTCAGAGTATAAAATAAGTATAAGTGAAGCAGCAGTGTTTAACAACTAAAAGTATACATCAAAAAGGGAAATCTTTAATGAAAAGCCTTTATGTACAGAGAAAATCACAAATTGTATTCCTTTGTAAAATACGTTTAAAACCTTAGAGGATCTTTCATAAATCAATTTAGGATGAATTTGAATAAATCAGTATAAGTAAAAGTTATGAAATAAGTAAAAATCATTATAGTGTCCCACTCGGTAAAACAGTGTAAAGTGGTTAAATCTTGTGCATGCGGGTTATCAATCACATGTGATTGACATGATAACTGGCATGTTTAACTTGTATTCCCCCTATAAAACATTTAAAAGCATTTAAAAGGTTCATTCAGGGGTATGAACTCACCTGGTGTAAGTAGGTCCGACGAGAGTGCCGATTGGGCGTTCGGGGTCACGCAAGGACTTGAACACACACAAGGACCTATTTTAACATATGATAACATATGTTCACATACAATTAGCATATAATATACTAATTAAACAATTATACACACTCAAAGGAGTGGAAAAACACTTTTGGTTGAGTGTTTGGGGTCCCGGGTAGCGTTTACGGGTGCTAAGGGTCTCTTATCAGTTGTGGGACTTTGCTATACTCACATATCAAGTGTGTAAATGGATTTAAAACACCAACATGGACCAAACAAGGAGTTTACGGCCCAACCTAAGGGAGTTTACGGCCGTAAACTCCCAAGGTTCTATTCTTGGGTGTTTGATGCTTCTAGCTTGTTCATTGAATTATTCTAAGCATTTTTCCTAAAGGGCATGAGTGGAATTGAGGACTCTAAGGGTACTAAACAATAGTTTATGGCCTAGGAACTCTCCCAAGGGAGTTTACGGCCGTAAACTCTCAACCTTTGAGTTTAGTGAAGTTTTAAGCCCCTATTGCCTTCCTAGAATTTTCTTATGAAGTTTGATGCTATTTTGGGTGATTAAAACCAACATTTGAGGGGGTTTTGGGGAGTTTACGGCCTAGATAAATGCTTGGGCCGTAAACTCCAAGAAATCCCTCATTTTCCTTGTGTTTAAGCCCTTAGATCCTTCCTAACATTTTATAGAGATAGCCTATGGTCATTTGGGGGACAAAAACTAACTTTTGGGCATGATTTAGGGTGTTTACGGCCTTGACCTTTGTCTGGGCCGTAAACTCCTTTCTTTAAATCATTTTGGAGTGTTTCAAGTGTCTAAACTCAAGAGGATAAGTCCCTAAATTATGTAATAAGCCCTAGGATGAGTTTGGAGTGCATTTGGGACCATGAATTGGGGAGTTTACGGCCTAAGCATGTGCTTGGGCTGTAAACTCTTCTTTGAGTCCTAAATCCATGAATTTTAGTGTTTAAACACCCCTAGGCTATATCCCCTATTTATTCCCAAGCTTATGGACAAGTTTAGAGGCATGTTTGGCACCATTTTAGGGGTTTACGGCCCTAGAGTGTTCCTGGGCCGTAAACTCCTTATTCCATGCCTTCTTGGATGATTTTTGGGCTATAAACATAAATCACTATGTTTAGAATAAGCTAGGGTAAGCGGACTTACAATTTGGAAGCGTTTGGTTGCGGATTCGGGGCGAAAACGGGTCTAGAGAGAGAGTGTAAAAAGTCTCCAATAGACTCCACTCACCCTTATATAGGGTTTTGAGTCGGGGCACAGTGAAATTCTACCCGATACTGCCGTTAAACGGGGCTTTAGGTCGCACCCGATCTAGTGGTCGTAATAATAAAACTTGACATTTTCCAAATGAATGAAAATGTGTGTCCTGTGTTTTATTTCCTTTTTCACGACTTAACGACATGTAAACATACACAATTGAAATGTTTATTAAATTTGACGGCTTCTTATTAACGGAACTTTTGAACAGTGGAAGATTCCGTTAACAGTAACGGAGAAATGTAACGGGACAACTTGGGTTGTCACACGCCGCCTCGGCCGGGGGTGTGACATTCCAAGTCTTTAGGGTAGTTTTCCCTCATGATGTGTCATGAGATACTCAATCTAATACATATATGTGCAATATATGTTCATAGGGTCCACTCGCGTACAAAACATCAGTTGACACTCAATGCTCATAACCAATCGATCATTCGGAACCTACGATAAATAGTGAGTTCATACCCCTACACTTTTCTAAGTTTTTCATGTTTTCGGGGGGGGGGGGGGGGGGGGGGGGATACAAGCTAAACACAAAAGGTTTTCATAACTTACAAACTGATGCAATTACAACGATTTTCTATCAAACATTTAAATAGAGTTATCCCTTTTGTATTATGCGGAGCATAAGGGATGTTTTCAATTTATAATTGCATGATTTCAAAACCATACACGAACGTAACAACCATTCAAACTATAATAGGTATAGTTTGGGATTTCATTATCAGTCTTACAGATTCAAACTTCATACAAGTCAAACATATAAACTATGTCAGATTTAGTTTGTCATTGTGACACTGATTTTAGTATGAATGCAGACTTGTATACTTAGTTAAATATTTTATTATTTAACAGTATAAAATCTTGGTCAGAGTGTTTTAATCCCATTGTGTTTATAGTTAGTATATCTTTTATGGGTTGATATACTCAATTCACTATAAACAACACTCTGATACCAATCTGTCACACCCCAAAACCAAGAACGGCGGAAACGTTCTTAGGCGGAGGATGTCATGTATAGTATCACAACACAGTATAATAGCAAACAAGTAAACAACATCATCCATTGCATTAAATATATAATTTTAATGCAAGTGTGTTCTTTAGTATATAAGACACCAAAACATAAATCAAAATACAAGATGAGTCTTGTATGCACTCCATCTTCTCAAAAGCTGGCATCGGTACCTGTCTACTGATGACTTGAGAATACAAGTTATTTTGAAAGAGTTTATCAGCATTAAAGTTGG